TTTTTTTTTTTTCGTATCAACGACTGTGAATTTTCATATTTTTTGAATCGTATAAAGCCGCGTACGATTTTTTTATTTTTTTATTTTTTCGTGTGTATTTTTTTTTTTTTTTTTTTCTTGGACGGAACTGATATCGCGAGAGCAATGATAGGGAAACTCGTATTCGTTTGCTAGATTTGGTTAAATTCTATTTGAGGATACACACTGTTTCAAAGTTTTATTCGGTCTTTTCGAGGCTTTAAAATGGATGGAAACAGCGTTGGAAAATTTGGAAGAAATAGAAATTGATTGTAAATAGAAGCTGCGAATCTGGTAAAAATATATAAGCGTAGAAAAGTTTCAAATTATTTAATTATTCTTTTTTTCTTTGTTTATTAAAGAAAAATGTGGGAATAAAATGCACACGGAAAATAATTTATCGCGTCATAATTACGCAGTACTTTCATAATTGAAATATCATTCTCTTACGAATTTTAATTTCGATACGATTCACAGTATTTTTCCACGTCCAATAATCCTCGAATAATTTCTTGCCCGTTCAAAATATTCTGTAATTTCTTCTTTGCAAATCTGGCAAAATTAAATCAACGACAAAAAAAACCTTATTTATTCTTCGTTAATTAATTTTTGATATATACGTCATGGCATTTTTATAATTAAAAAATTATTCTCTTACAAATTTCAATACATACCATTTCTCCAATCTTTAAACAATTTACTTATCAAATATTTATCAAAAATATTCTATATATCATCGTGTTCCTTATTCCATTGCAAACACTTTTAACTCTACACGTTCCTTATAAATTTGAAGCAACAACAATGCTTATAATAATTTTCGCAATTGGAAAAGTTATATTCCAAAATTTTAATTTCGGGCGCACGAATCTTCAAATAGTTCCCCCTCGAGTCTGCAATTTCTTGTAACGGAGCCGGCGTTAGAAACAGTGGGAATTGTTCGTTGGCCAGCGCAGGCGTCAGCTGCAGTTGCAACTGCACTTTCTCGGCACACGTATACACTCGTATATATACGTTACAGGTATATGTTACACACGTACGGTATTTCCCGTCATGCCCGTTACGTTCCGTTCCAATGCATGGCCGCGATGCTGTGTTGCGCCTCGCATACCGCGCGCCATGCCTTCTCGTCGCTTTTGTTTGTCACGATTTTCTTCGTTCAACACCGAGAAATTAATTCGAAACCCCCGATCGTATCTGTTCCCCGCCGCTTGTAACAATCGTTGAATCGGGCTCGCGATCTTTATCTTCGAATGGATAGCGTGCGCCCCAATCGAAAATGATACTGATAGGCGAGGCGTCGAAAATGGTCAATGATTGTCTGCCAGTGTCTTTTCTTTTAAACGAATAATAATAATAACGATGATGATGATGATGATAATCAGAAAGTTTGTAAAGCGTATCGATAGCGATTGCTTTTTTTGAAGAAGAAGAAGAAGAAGGGGAGAATGTTATTCGTTCGTGTTTGTGATGAAATCGTAAACGCCCACGTAAAGTTGCAATTTATCGTCGTTGCTTCTTACGAGTAATCGTATGTTTGCGAAATCGGCATGCTCATCGTTAATTAGACACGTTTACGATGTATATTTTAATCTTCAACTTTTTCTCGACCCATTAATCCTTCTCAAACGCTTTCTTTTTCTTTTCTTTTTTTTTCTTTTTCTTTTCTTCTTCGTCGCTTCTCCTTGACGCGTTGATTACCACGAGGATTTTTTTCATTACTTTTTTGTTGTGGAACGAACGTTTCCTCTTAAAACGATATTTCTTAAAACGAGGGAAATTAATCGATTCTGTTATGCAATACGAAGAGAAATAAGATCGACCCGTTGCAATTTTATAATAAAAAATAAATCTCAAGATTTTTATTTATTTTATTCGCAAGAGGTATTAAAAACGTATCGTACGCATCAAATTCGCCTCTAGAAATATTAGAAAACGATGATCCGCGTTTTACAAAATTACGCATAACATAAGATGGGGGAGGAAGCAGAGTTATTTTTCCGTGTTTCTAGAAAAATACAATCGAGAATCCCTCAAGGATTGGCCGCAAGATTCTCGAACGTAGTTAGTTATACTCCAGCTTTCTCGGCCGGCCAACTCGAGGCTCCCACAATCGATATTTCACATTCGACTCTAAATATATGCACCGAGGCTATAGCCGGCACGACGATGAGGATCGTTTGGCCGACGACGTTCGTTACCTTGTCCGATGACGAGGCGAGAGTCTCCGGCAACGTGAGCCTTCGATCGCCTCGAAGGTAGAAAGTACGAGACGAAGGCTGTTTGTCGACCGCTTGCACACGCAGTCTCGTCGTGGTAACAGAATCGACCGGTGTTACGATTGCTTCGTGGTACGCTTCGTTTTCCTTTTCCTTTCCTCTTTCTCTCTCTTTCTCTTTTTTCGTTTTCGCATCAGGAACGAAAATATTCGACGAGGGGGACCCACTTTGTATTGTTCCTCGTCGCGATTCTCGATCGATGTTGACCGGGATTTCGATGAATAATGAAACACGGTGCGTGGTTAATCGCGCGTGAAGGTGGTGAACGATGCTTCGATCGTGTGTTAAAATGTGTGAAATGGTAAGGAGAGGATAGCGACTAGGAAAGTTCACCGTGCAGTTTATACTCTTCTCAAGTGTTCAAGTGGAAAAAATTTTGTGTGTGAAAAATATCCAAAGCAAAAAAGTATATATATGCATTAAAAAGTGCATAAACCAATAATTCGCGGTCTAATGATACGGCAATATTACAAATTATAGTGGTCAAAGGAGCGATTGATATTAAAAAGAAAAGAAAAAGATTCGTCGAGTTGAAGTGATAATCGGGAAGAAAGTGAAGTGCATAGAGAGGGAGAGAGATCGTATGAGAGATCGATGGTGTTATTCTAGGATCATTGACCTTAACCATTTCGATGCTTTCAATGGGACACATGCGTCTCAATAAATATTTCTGATCCTCTGCGGGCCAATACGTATCTCTGTACGCGCTTTTTTACTTTTTTTTTTTTTTACAATCCATTGCCATGTACAAATTACAAAATTTCTGATCCTCTGGGGGACGATTTGTATTTCACACGTGCGTGTATTTTTGACTTTTTTTTAATAGTTTCACCTTTATACCACCATCATTGACCGATACGAATTACGAATCCGCACGAATCCTCCGGATAATATTATCTGGATATTATCTGAAAGAAAAGGAAATAAAATTAGAACGGGGAAAACGACGTTAAAAATAATAATACAAATACCCGAGAATGGCCTTGACGCGTTTCATTTTGTCGCAAGGTGTTGGATAGTGATATCATCGAGTTTCACCTCGTTGTCTTATCGGGTATCGAGTTAAAGGATGCTTCTTTGGATCGATCGCGTGGAAACAGAGAATCGAAGGTATTCGTTTGTCGCGGTCGAGTATTGCGAGTCGTTCGAATTCTTCTTCGTGGAAAGTTGAAATTCAATTTGCATCGAGCTTGTGAACGATTCGAACCAAGTTTTGTTTTCGCGCAACTCGGTTAGAAAATACGTTGTGCACGTAACTGGTTTTGTTCGTTGTATCCTGCTGATCGATTCGTCGTCTCTTTTCTCCGTTGAAAATGAGGGGAATTGAGAAGAGGAATTAAAAAGCTGGCGCATGCTAAAGTAGCACCTTTGGTATTAATTTGACGATGCACCTGTTGTGTGCAGCTGCACCTATTTCATCTCGTTAATTTCCCGAAGTTTTAACCCATGTTCCAATTCTCCTTTTTAAAAAATGAGAAATCCAATTTCAGAATTCTCAATTTTGTAAAAATTCATCCTCTTTTTTTAAGGTGTTAATTTTATATTAAACGTATCCAAAGAACTACAATCTATAAAGATGTTTTAAAGTCAGATTGTATATAATCATGAGAGTTTTTAATCGGCCAATGCTAACAATAACCATCGATTCTCGTCGTTGGATAATTTAATAATTCAACACCCGAATCGCAATAATGAAGTTTCAAATTTCGATCGAAGAACCAACTTTCAATTTTCGACAAATTTCATTTCATTCTCTTCTTTTCGTTCCACTTTCCTCCTAATCGCCCAAATATTCTCTAATCAATCTGTGCAGAATTGAAACGTATCGTTAATTGCTTTAAATCAACGCAATCGATTGGCGAATTTTCGTTAAAGCCTTCGATTCCCGCCGATAAGAAAAATTCCATAAGGCAAACACATAAGCTTGCGTTTCATCGTGGCAAAGCCCCCTCTTCCCGCTATCTCGATTCCTGTTTTTCCAACCTATTTGCCTCGCTTCCTCGATAAATTCGAAACGATGGAGGGGATTCCACGCGTTACTTGCGAGTGGAAGCTGCGTCGGGACAAAAAACGAAAGACTTCCACCATCATTGGTGAAAATTCCCAACCTCTCTCCCTCTTCTCGTTTATTCTCGTTTCCAAAGAGAAATTCTCTTCTCGCGTACAACGGTCTGTATCGGTTTTAATCCGCTATTTCGCGGGAATCGGCCGTTATTTAACGCGATATTTCACGAACTCTTTCCTCTTCCAGCGATAATTTTTCAACGGAGATAATTTTTGACGGAGAATTTTTTCCGAGACCGCTGTTTTATCGAATGATATTTATTAAGTTTAACACTCGTGAACGAAACGTTCCAGAGTTGTGTTACAAAAGTTCTTTGCGCTGAAAATGCTAAGAAAATAATTTAAATCAGAGGTTTAAATCTGGAAGACGAATCCTTATCTTCTTTTCTTCTGTCATTCGCGTGTCTCTCGCGCATGTTTCACGGTGCAATCAGAACGAGATCACGGCAGATTTCTATTCTTTCGAGGTTTCTCCTCGGAATTGACTCTTCCTCGGTGGTTTCGGTGGATACGTTTAATGGTCTCGTTAGCGCGCGATCCGCCACTTATTACGCTCCATGAAACTCGAAATGACAACGTTTCCACTCTCTCGTTTCTCATCTATTCGTTAAAATTGGTAAAATTCACCGTGGCACGTTATCAATTATCGGGGAATTGGATTTATAGCCTTGGACGCGTGGACGTAATTAGAGCGCACGGTGAGTTATCGATGAGCAGCGGAGCGTGCCAGTTGCGCGCATCTCTCCGTTTCTTTTCCCCTCGGGATCTGTTATGCCGTGCACTTTCACTCTCGATCGAGGCGATCGGGGCAAATTTAAATCGCGAAGAAACTTTCGCATCGGAGGATGGCTCAATCAGTGTTGAGAAGTTCGAAAGGATTTGAATCAAATTTCGTGCAGGTGGTTCTCAGGTTCAAATAGGGGAACATGGATTAATTATGAAAATTGAATAATTCAATGATAAGCGAATAAAATTATGTACCGATTCTTTCCATTTCTCTTAATTAAGGATAATTTAAGAAGAACAAAACAATAGACGTTATCAAGAAGCGTTATTACGAATCATTTGAATTCATATACTGTTATTATTATTTGTAAATTTTCATTCGAGTTAAACTTTTATAGAAAATATACGTAAGAAAAGATTAAAGAAGAAATTGAAAATTATCTCTAACGTATTGTAATAATTAAGATATTCATAAAAAAAGAAAGATCTCTTTCTCTCTCTCTCTCTCTCTTTCGATTCTTCGAGAGTATACAAGTTATTACAACTCCAATTTTAATATTTAAAGAAGATGTTCATCACGTTGGCAACGAACGTATTAATAAGACGAAAAATTATTCAAATTATATGCAATTTGCAATTTATATGCAAGATATCCCGTGGATAAGGGGTAAAAGAGGTCTTAAATCACGTATCCAACTTACAACAACCCTGTTTGCACATATTCTAATTCTCCTCGTCGTTGGCAAGATGCATCGTTTAATAATCTTGGCAAAAGGGATTCCGGCTCGAAAACGGGGCATTGAAATTAAGCCTTTCCTCCACTCCACTGTTGACCTTAACGAGAGCGCTTACTTTGATTTACCTTGTAACACGTTGGAAAGCTGCGTAATCAACGAGAAACTAATCCCATAAATTTGCAACCAGAGTTTCAACGCGTTCGCATTGATCTCTCGTTTGCCTACGTTTAACCAGTTACGCGCACGCCTCGTTGATAACCTTCGTCGTTAATACGGGGAAAATTGCGAGAATTTCAACTGGTTGTAACCACAGAAGCAATCGAACGAGCAACAATATTTTTCGACAATTAATAACTCGAAAGCGAAAAATCTTCGTTATCTTCGCTAGTTGTTTTTTTTTTTTTTTAATTTCTTTTTAAACGAGTTTTCTAATTTTCTTCTGCTCGAAATATAATTTCGTTAATGTAACAAAGCGTCTCTCAATTTTAAGATCGTACACTCTAAAAATCGATCGATTTGCGTTTAATTTTCCAGAATTTTAATACAACAAATACTGCCTCTAATCGTCAACCTTCGTACAATATTACAAGGAAAGTATATCGTTATATATCATCGACCAAGCTGAACACTCGGCGATAACATTTATCCAATTCGAATCACGTGTCCAATGACGCGAGCAACGATTTTTCCTCGCTTATATCTACGGAAAAACCTACTTACCATCGGCTTACCATTATTTTTAGCATTTAACGACATACACGGCATCGACGAGGCGACGACGACCACGATGACGACAACAAAATTGGTCAATTTCCATTGCTATCGGCTATTACTATTTTCGTCCGTTGATAGTCAAAGTGAGGTCGCGAGGCGTTCCCCGGTGAACCGGTTAAACGTGGGTGGAGATCGGTGTTGTGGCAGTTTCTGGTGACGCATAGGAAAGCCGTTCGAGGAGAGGAGGGCCACGTAAGACGTGCTCGTCTCCTCGCCTCGTGGCCCTCTCGCCACGTAGAGTAGGGAGAAAGAGCGGAAAGCCGGGCATATCTGTCATTCGAGGAACGACCGACGTGCCGTGTGGGTCCTTGAACGATTCGAGACGATCGACGCGTGTATTTCCTTGACCGAGTGGCGAACAGTGGCGAAAATGAACGTGTCGCGAAATCCAAGGAAATCAAAGCCACGTGGTGATAAGTGAAAATCGAGGTATCGAGAACGTATTTCTTCTCTCGTTGCGACGTCTATCTTGGAGATGTACAGTGCGCTGGATGCTGAATTCTCTTTTTTCTTGCAGTGCTCTTCTCACGGTTAGATGCTAGGTCCAAAAGTTCTTTTTTCTTGATTACTTACTTTGAGAAAAAAATCTGTGAAAATAAAAATTTATTCACAGATGTAAATCATAGTTATTTGTATCCCATTGAAAATTTTGGATTCCAACAGAGTTGGAAGATTGTGAGCGTAAAGAAAAAATTTGTTCTTCGTTTCTTAATTCCAAGGAAATTGAGGGGAAGTTGCGAGTGTTTTTTGTGATCAAATGGGACGAGGATCGATAGCGTGGGAAAAATCGAGGATGGAATCTCTCGAGTTCTCGTTCTTCTCGCTTGGAAAGAATTAGGAACTGATTTCAACGATCATTAGTTATTTATCGCGGAGGAAACTCAACGACTAAGGGGAGAAATCTTATTAATCAACGTCTACGAGCCAGTATCTGTCCTCGGTTTAATGTTTGGTAATCGATTTCACAAACCTTGAATTGAAAATCGAAAGTGATAAATAATTTGTATTCGATTCGTTGTAAACCCGTTCGCAATTTGATTCGAAATGGAAAAATTCTATCTTTTCTTTCTCCCCTAATTTTTTCATCGTAAAATAAAAAAAAAAGAAAAATGGAATTTCAAGTGACATCTGCGACAAGTAAAAAACGATCGGTCGATTCATTAATTATTCATGGTTAGAAACGATTCTTTGAACAGCCTCGACACTCGAGACTAATTCGCGCGAACAGCGGGGAAACGGGATGAAATTCAGTCGAATTTATCGGGATGCCGGCATTTGATTTTCCAATTTGTTCGACAAGGAAGAGCGTTGCTCGTTTTTCGTTTTCTGGCGCCGCACAAGTATCGCCTTCGCCTGTTTTGCAATTCGGATTTTCCCGCTTTTGCATTCTGTTTGCGCAATTCTTCCTCGTTCGACACGTTGAATAAGATTTTTCTTTTTTTTTTTTTTTCCTTGGACTCTCGCGTTTTCCTGGACGCGTTTCAAGAGAAGATGTCTCCTCTATGTATGGAACGAGGGGAGGCGTCGTCTTTCTTTCTCGTTTAAACACGACGACAGTCGACATCTTGTTCGTAATAAAACGAAGCGGCTGGTTTAAAATTCTTCCACGTGTCTAAAACGCGTTCGATTTAATGGCACGGTCTCGTTGGTAAAAATTTCATTAGACATATGTATAGATTCGTCACAGTTAATAATTCTTTGAATGGTGGCTTTCTAATCCGTAGAATACCATCGTTGAACGGTAATTTCATTGCAAGATCTATTTGTTTAGCTGTGAAGAGTATTTTTAACTTTTTAGGTATTGGCTGTATAAA